AGTGTAGGTGCCATGTGACATTTATCAATCCTAACAGTCCTCTAGCAGATGTCCTACAACACCTGACACTGTCCTGACACTGCCTAGTGGTCATTGAGCCCAGAAGACCACCCTCCCCTCTTTAAAAATTCTGCATATTATTAAATGAATTTTACTGATTACCCAATTTAGAAAGCACATCTAGCAGGTCTCCCTTCTTTTGTGCAACTGCCTAACCAACTATGTCTACTATGTGCTCCACACATGCTCATGCCTGGAACAAACAGGAGGTATTGGATCTCTTGGGCTTGTGTTAAGAAAAGGCTGTACAGTCACATCTGCAGAGCTGCTGTAGCAAAGTGAACATCTATGAGCAGGTTGCGTGGGAGATGTTAGCAAAGGGGTAAAATAGGGACCAGCAGCAATCCCAAGTGAAAGGAAGAAACTGTGGCAGGCATACCAAAAGGGAAGTGAACAGTAAGTCTGGTCTTGTGCCACAGACCTGGTACTTTTACAAAGAGATGTGCACCATATTTGGCACCAGCACCTGATGGAGTCCTATGGATTCTTCAGGGAGCCTGAGACACAAACCATTGTGAAGCGCAGGAAGGACAATTGAAGACATGCAACTGGGAGGCCAGCTATGTCATAAGCCAGGATCTGTTTAAGATTCCACCATAGTCTAGTCATTCCCAGCAGTGCAGCATGGGTGAGACCTGTCCATATCCTGTTTAAAACTTTTGGAATGCAAAGGAAGGGAGTTCTGAAACTTCACTTTCACTTGCCCTTGTGACTGTACATACAGCGACATGTGTCTGTTTTGTCAGTAGCTACTGCTGTTGTCATCTTGAGAGTCTCTCTCTCCCCAACTCCCACCCCCTGTGGACTGCCTGACTATGATAAAGAGGAGAAAAAAGAGGACAATGGGGGACAATATTCAGTGAGATCCTGCAAACCAGTGCTGCCCCAGAAGGTGAACAGAGAGCCCAGAAGAATAATATTGCATGCAGTATCAAGAAGAGAAGACTGGACAGGAGAAAGGTGCAGGAGTCAGAGAAGGAGAAGCATCAGGTCATAATGCCGCAAACACAAAAGCTACAGATTCTTGTTGACCTACAGGTTCAACAATCATGTGCCTGGCTTCATCTGCAGCCAGTGGAGAACTCCGTTTTAGCATCTCTGTACACCCCTCAGTGATCCATGCAGCATCACGGGTCAGATCCATACCCCTGCACTTCACAGTGGGGAGCTATAAAGAGAAACACAGATCTGTGTATCTTCTAATAGCCCTATTGTCTGGCTCTTCCAACTCAGTAGACGTCTGCCCCACCTCCACACCGGAAGCAACTTGCCCCTTTTTCTTCAGGGGTATTAAGCAGGACACAACAGGCAGCTATAGCCATTTATTTTTCTCGCTGAGATCCAGTCTGGTGAATGAGCAATGCCACTATCTTGCCAGTCTAGCAAAAGCACATTCAACCATCATTCTGCACCTACTGAGCTGATAGGTGTCCCTTTGCTTGCTGCTGTTGAGGTAGTTGATGTATAGTTTCAGGTGTCAAATGAGGAGAGGGTAGGCTGGGATCCCCTGGATCACTTTGGGGATTTCAGTAGTGCCAATGGTATTCTGTTGGTGAGGAAAGGATCTCCCTGCATGCAGCTTTCTGAATAGTCCTGTCTTCTTACCAATGAAGATGTTCTGTGCCTTCCTTGACCAGCCAACGATAACATCAGAGATATATCCCCCATGATCCACCAATGCTTGTATAACCATTGAATATTAGCCCTTTCCACTGAAGTACAGTAAAACCTCAGGCTGTGTCTAGACTGCATCCCTTTTCTGTAAAAGGGATGCAAATTAGACACATCGCAATTGCAAATGAAGTGGGGATTTAAATCCCCCCCGCTTCATTTGCATAAACATGGCTGCCGCTTTTTTCCATCTCGGAGCTTTGCCGGAAAAAAGCGCCCATCTAGAACGGGGATCTTTCGGAAAACAAAGCCTTTCCCAAAAGATCCCTTATTCCTTTTTTAAAGAGGAATAAGGGAACTTTCGGAAAAGGCTTTATTTTCCGAAAGATCCCCTCTAGACTGGCGCTTTTTTCCGGCAAAGCTCCGAGATGGAAAAAAGCGGCAGCCATGTTTATGCAAATGAAGCGGGGGGGATTTAAATCCCCACTTCATTTGCAATTGCGATGTGTCTAATTTGCATCCCTTTTACGGAAAAGGGATGCAGTCTAGACACAGCCTCGGAGTTTTGAACACAAGAGTTACGAACCACACATCCCATTTGGAACCAGAAACACACAATCAGGCAGCAGCAGCAAGAAAAAAAAGAGAGAGAAAAGAATGATGCAGTTACAGTACTATGTTAAACATAAACTTCAGCATAGTAAAGTTTGAAAACTGTATTAAGTCAATATTCAGTTATAAACTTTTGAAAGAACATTCGTTATATTTTGTTCAGAATTACAAACATTTCAGAGTTATGAACAATCTCCATTCCTGAGATATTTACAGTACATCATGGCAAGGTATTCTGGTACTAAAATAGGGATGTATGCCATTTGGGAACCCCATTGCAGCACATCCATCCTGCACTTTGCCTAGAGTCACAGTCCTACACAGCAGGAGATGATTCATGGCTCTGCTCGTTTGCATGATGATAACAATAAAGGGTTGTTTTTTTTCAATTCCAGAATGACTGCCCACTGATCCATAGCAATCTGGTATTGTACGCTTCCACAGAGCAATCACCATTCACTTCTCAGCTGTGAGTCTTGGTGTGCCTGCACAGGGTGACTGGAATGAGCATAGCACATAGATCCAGGAACATAGCCTTTCACACCTCGAAGTTCTGCAGCCACCTCTTGTCTTCCCTAACCATCTGAGGAAATGGGTCTTACCCATGAAAGCTCAGGATACTTTATATATTTGTTAGTCTCTAAGGTGCCACAGGACTACTCTGCATGATGATGTGACCCCATCTGTTAGTGATAACTAACTTTCCCCATAAGCAGCGCTCCATAGTCTTCAGCTGCTTTCTGAATGTCACCAAAAAGGCTAAATTGGTTTTTGCTGCATTTCACTGGGATCTGTCCACAAAATCATCCTGCTGCAATTCTTCCTGTACCTCTGCAAATACTGGGGGATCATTCATCAGTGTTTGCAGTGCTCATGGCAGTAGTGCAGAGCTGTCCAGGCTCCATCCTTCTAATGGAGATTGTGGCCCTGAAACATGCTGTATAAGTTTGTGGGATTTCCAAGAATTAAAATGATGGGATATTGATGACATAATTGGAATGAGAAAGTTGCTTGATGAGAACTTGATTCCTTTCTCATACTCACCCTTGCACAACTGCCTCACCATGCTGTGATCGAAAACTTCCCTGTGTGCACACTATAAACACCATTGTAATAATCTTTTAGAAAATATGCCTTGGTATCATATGAAAACTAATGTGAATAATATCACGGTGAAATGTATGTAACAACATTATATGCAAAGTTATGAAATCCCCCTGTATAGGAGTTATGACATGTTTAAAACCACACAGGCCTACCTAGGCAAAGGTTTTAAAACAGGTTTATCCCCCTCTCCCCCCAAAGGAGTGTGTGTTTACCTCAATTTACATATAAGTAATAACAGGGCTGGGAAGGCACCAAGAGTAGCAGATGGCAGGAGACATCTGGTTTCTCTTACTCCTTGCGACTGTGAGCAGTACTGGCACCAACTGGATGTGCAGATGGCAGGAGACATCTGGTTTCTCTTACTCCTTGCGACTGTGAGCAGTAATGGCGCCAACAGGATGTGTCCTCTGTGTTTGATTTAGTAGGTCTTAACTAGACCTGCAAATTCAAACTGCAGAAGATTGCTCTCCGGTGCGTAAGGGTAAACCTTGCCTTGGAAGTTTAATGAAAAACGAATCATTGTTTCTTTTTCTTGCAGGTACAGAACTGTGGGAGTTAAACATATAGGCTACGTCTAGACTGGCATGATTTTCCGCAAATGCTTTTAACGGAAAAGTTTTTCTGTTAAAAGCATTTGTGGAAAAGAGCGTCTAGATTGGCACAGACGCTTTTGCGCAAAAGCACTTTTTGCGGAAAAGCGTCTGTGCCAATCTAGATGCGGTTTTGCGTAAGAAAGCCCTGATCGCCATTTTCACCATCGGGGCTTTTTTGCGCAAAACAGTTTTTAGCTGTCTACACTGGCCCTCTTGTGCAAATACATTTGCGCAAGAGAGCTTTTTCCCGAGTGGGAGCAGCATAGTATTTGCGCAAGAACACTGACAATCTTACATTAGATTGTCAGTGTTCTTGCGCAAATTCAAGTGGCCAGTGTAGATAGCTGGCAAGTTTTTCTGCAAAAGTGGCTGCTTTTGCGGAAAAACTTGCCAGTCTAGACGAAGCCTATCAAGTAAGAGAAGAATAGTCCTGTGTGTTGCTAGAAAATTTTCACCACAGAATTAAATTTTATTTTAGTATTTTTGATTAAGAAAAGCAGTTCAAAAATGTAACATGAACAAAAATCCTGAAGCTTGAAGTTTCCAATATAGAATTTTAAAAGGAAACTTGTTCTAAAATGGTTTGAAATAAACATCCCACAAAACTGCTTTTATGGGAGTAATTTTGAAACTAAAGAATGTCCCTTCACAATCAGTTCTTCCCAGCTGTCCACGACCTGTAACAATTTTCTGAGAAGCAAAATGCCCAAGTTTGTTTACATTCTGTCTACACTGTAGCAATAAGATTTTCTTCCTTCCTTCCTTCCGCTACTTTAGTGTTCTCATTCTTAATAGCTACAGGGTTCTATTTAAATTAGGGATATTGCCAACCTGTAAAAAGACATTCAATACATAACAGTTGGGTTTTTTTTAATAACACTGGCTTTCATTTCATTATAATGTGATGTATTTATCATGCTTTTCTACCTTTCATTTGCATATGAAAAACCCTCATTTTGCATCATCATGTACTTTCTCTGAAAATAATAATTAACATGAACTTCTTTGACTGTGCAGAGCTGGCTATTTGCCTCAGAATATTCCTCTGGAGATTATCAGATACCTTTCCGAGGAGAAGGATTTTCTGCCTTGGCATGCTGCCAGCCGAGCTCTTTATCCTCTAGATAAATTGCTGGACCGCACTGAAAACTACAACATTTTCAATGTAAAAGATATATTCTCTTCTTTTCTATTGTCCTGAGATGAACTAGTCCACAGTCAGTTATTGTAACTGATCTAGGGATATTAACTTTCTTTCTAATTATTTTGTATTTAAATATAGCAATTGTCAAACTTAGGTTAATTTGCATTTGAACAGTGATAACAGTTCTTTGAGGCATATTTAATGAGTAGAAGAAAACTTAACTTTTCTTCCTATAAACTATTAGGACAAATAAGTGGTTTGACTCTTAAAAACAATGTGTACTCCAAATTTTATAGTTCTCTGGAGCCACTGAACTATAGTTTCATTGGACATAATCATGAATAGAAAGTGTGCTCACAGAATTTATCAGGATGAATGAAATTGAAGTCTATATTATTAGTCATTAATTCCTTTCTGAAAGGCATAGTGAATTCAATGCACTTCCCTTAATTAACAAGGATTAGATCACAATTGAGTCAAAAACCCATTCATAATTGGGACCGGAAGAACAGTAGTAGCAGCAAACTAGATAATCCAAGTAGACACGACAAACATTTTAAAATGTTACCTGAAAAATGTTGCTTAATCTTGAAGCATATTTATTAAAAGGAATATTGTTAATTACACAGACTTTAATAGTAGAGTATTTATTAAAAATTATAACCTGGTTTATGCTTGAATGGCCAATCACATACACATAATTTTATAATACAGTCAAAATGAAGTAACTACATGAAGTCTGATATAGTTATAGAGACGCTTTTAAAATACACTGAGATGCATGCTTGCATGGAGAATTTGTAAAAGGAATGCATTACAAATTAATAAGGAAATACTGGAAATGTTTCTTCAGGAACCTATGATCTAAGACTTGCTCCAAACCAGACAGTTCTAATGTAAAATTTCTCTTTTTTTTGTTCCTAGTCTATCATTACCTGCATTGAAAAATCATTAAACAGTCCTTGCTGTTTCACTTTCAGACACAATTGTGTAAAAAGAATGCATTTTAATAAAAAACACTGGTGTATTTAATTGAAGGGTTGTATTTTATCGCTATGATTCTTCCTGAAATCTGAAAGCAGAGTTGATAGCAGAGGAAATATAAACTGCCACAGTATAATTTACCTGCTCGAGAATGCTATACTGTGCTTCTCCTTTCTGTCATTGCGCACATTTGCACATGCATTCATAAAAATAAAAATGGATATTCTCTTGCATTAGTTCATTTCAGTTCCTTTTTCAAAGCTGTGAATTCCAGTGGCAGAAAATTATGCCGTGACTACAGTGACAATAGTCTACTTCACAACTTGTCACTGAATGTAAAGATGCCTAATGTGCAAGATGTAAGAGTAAGATAAAACATGTCTTGTGCTGTCTTTGATATTTATACACCGCAAGAGCTAAATGGACATTGAAATAGTATCATTAAATAACCCAGTCTTGATACGCAGCACATATTGTTGAGTATTACAGATCAGATGACGGCACCTGTGTAATGCTTTGGCTGTAGCTATGAAAGTAAAGACGATCATAGCTATCAGTTATCTCACTAAATATGTGCTGAGTGTGTCTCCTTAAATGTGTAACAATGGCCATTAGTCAAACATTTATTGTGAAGACAGGATTGGCTTAGCTAGAGTTGACATTAGCCTATCCAAGCTCCAGCAGCGCTTCACTTGTGTATTGTTAGGTTAAAATTCTTTTAAAGTAAACAAAGTAAATGGTTGCATTCTTTGTCATTAAATTGGCTTACATTGTAGACCCACTCATGTAGCTGTTCTGTAGATTGAAGTAAATAAAGAATGGGATTGAATACAAAAGCATTGCAACACTAGATCCAAATCGAAGCATTTTGAAAGTGGGATGTTAATAAAAACATCAACAGTATTTCAATTTTGAAGTGAAAAATAAAAAATAAAGCTTAATTCTGAAAATATACTTGCTTTTTTTCTTTCAGGAATATATTTTAAAACAAGTTGCAACGATGTACCTCAAACTTGGATGGCCAACAAATAATTTAAACAGATCACTTGTTCAAGCTGCCTACCAACATGAGTACTGTTATACACTTCTTTATTAATTTTTACAGGAGATAGTTATAGGAAAGTGCTTTCCCAATACTAAATGTGAGCTGGAGCAGCATGAGATGCCTTTCTATCCTTTTTCTCCATTCATTTCTCCTCACTGGAGGGAGTTAGGGGCTATGAATCTGCTTCCTCTGCCTGGAATTTGGAGAACAAAGACATGTTCTTGTTAAGCTTTAATTTAAGTGCTGGCTCCATTGGAGATTTGGGGATTTGAACTCATGAGGCCATTGAATTTAGTAGGGCTGGCTAAATGTAACAGCACACGTTTTGATCCATAGCCTTTAATTAAAAATTGTAACTGTAACAATATGGTGCTTGGTTCTTACTCAAGGATATAGAATTACAGTATCTTGAATATTTTTGTTTAAATATTAACAGCTCTTTTATAAGAAAGGTTATAATATTTTCATCTGAGAATTTCAACACAATTATTTATAAACGTGACCTCATTAGTGTCTTTATTTGTGTTTTGGACTAACCCAGAGAATTGCGTCGAGAAGTCATCATGCTGGCCTGCAGTTTTGGCAATAAACACTGTCACCAACAGGCTGCAACATTAATCTCAGATTGGATTTCCAGCAATAGAAATCGGTAAGTGGGACAAAAATATACATCTCCCGTCTCCCACTCCCCAACTCACGACTAATATAGTCAATATGAGTATGCATTCTTTAATACATACTGTTTGCTTACAGGTTAAAACATCAGAGGGGTAGCCGTGTTAGTCTGAATCTGCAAAAGCGACGAGTAGTCCTGTGGCACCTTATAGACTAACTGAAGTGTAGGAGCATAAGCTTTCGTGGGCAAAGACCCACTTCGTCAGATGCATGTAGTGGAAATTTCCAGAGGCAGGAATAAATATGCAGGCCAGGATCAGGCTGGAGATGACCAGGTGGATCCAATCAAGGAGGATGAGGCCCACTTCTAGCAGCTGATCTGGAGGTGTGAATTCCAAGAGAATAGAAGCTGCTTTTGTAGTTAGCAAGCCATTCACAGTCTTTGTTTAATCCAGAGTTGATTGTGTCAAACTTAAAGATGAACTGTAGCTCAGCAGTTTCTCTTTGAAGTCTGGTCCTGAAGTTTTTTTGCTGCAGGATAGCTACTTTTAGATCTGCAATTGTGTGTCCAGGAAGATTGAAGTGTTCCCCTACAGGTTTTTGTATGTTGCCATTCCTAATATCAGATTTGTGTCCATTGATTCTTTTACGTAGGGACTGTCCTGTTTGGCCGATGTATATAGCAGTGGGGCATTGTTGGCACATGATGGCATATATTACGTTGGTGGATGTGCAGGAGAATGTACCAGTGACAGTATGGCTGATCTGGTTAGGTCCTGTGATGGTGTTGCTGGTGTATATATGTGGGCAGAGTTGGCACCGAGGTTTGTTGCAAGGATTGGTTCCTGAGTTCGAGTTATTATGGTGCGGTGTGTAGTTGCTGGTGAGAATATGCTTCAGGTTGGCGGGTTGTCTGTGGGCAAGGACCGGCCTACCTCCCAAGGCCTGTGAGAGCGAGGGATCATTGTCCAGGATGGGCTGAAGATCACTAATGATGCGTTGGAGAGGTTTTAGCTGGGGACTGTAGGTGATGGCCAGTGGTGTTCTGTTGGTTTCTTTCTTGGGCTTGTCCCGTAGCAGGAGGCTTCTGGGTACACGTCTGGCTCTGTCAATCTGTCTCCTCACTTCCTCGTGTGGGTATCGCAGTTTACAGAATGCTTGTTGAAGGTCTTGTAGGTGTAGGTCTCTGTCTGAGGGGTTGGAGCATATGCGGTTGTACCTCAGTGCTTGGCTGTAAACAATGGATCGTGTGGTGTGTCCGGGATGGAAACTGGAGGCATGCAGGTAAGTATAGCGGTCGGTAGGTTTTCTGTATAGGGTGGTATTGATATGACCGTCACTTATTTGTATCGTGGTGTCCAGGAAATGGACCTCCCGTGTAGATTGGTCCATGCTGAGGTTGATGGTGGGGTGGAAGCTGTTGAAATCATGGTGAAATTCTTCCAGAGTCTCCTTCCCATGGGTCCAGATGATGAAGATGTCATCGATGTAGCGTAGGTAGAGAAGGGGTGTAAGTGGACGAGAGCTGAGGAAGCGTTGTTCCAGGTCAGCCATAAAAATGTTGGCGTATTGTGGGGCCATGCGGGTGCCCATAGCAGTGCCACTGGTCTGGAGGTATATGTTGTCACCAAATCTGAAATAGTTGTGTGTGAGGATAAATTCACAGAGTTCAGCCACCAGTTGTGCTGTGGCATCATCAGGAATACTGTTCCTGACAGCTTGTACTCCATCTGCATGTGGGATGTTTGTGTAGAGAGCCTCTACATCCATGGTGGCTAGGATGGTGTTTTCTGGAAGATCACCTATGCATTGTAGTTTTCTCAGGAAATCCGTAGTGTCACGAAGGTAACTGGGAGTGCTGGTGGCGTAGGGTCTGAGCAGAGAGTCCACATAGCCATACAGTCCTTCAGTAAGAGTGCCAATGCCCGAGATGATGGGGCGTCCGGGATTTCCAGGTTTGTGGATCTTGGGTAATAGATAGAACAACCCAGGTTAAAACATGTAGCCGAAATGACCAGATGTCTTTTAAAGCATTGCTGTGAGCCTGCAGAGCTAGAAGGAGTGGGAAAGATCTCTTAATCTGTGGATGGGACAAGTGGAGCCTGTGTGGCCTCCTCTACCTCCTGAGATAAAAATGAGGTTGAATTTAAGTAAAGACATAATGGAAGAAAGGGAGGATTCTCGATAGATGAAGACAGGAATAAGGGCAACATGACAGAGGATGTGAAGCTTTAAGAAGAGAAAAGGACGAGTGTGGTAAAAAGTTTGGGAAGACCTGAAAGAGAGGGAGGAAAAGAGTTGAGGAAATGTAATAAAGGGAAATATTATGTAAAGCTTTATAGGATAAGATACATAATTGAAAGAGATGCAGTAAGAGAGAAGAAGCTAATAGAGGGATTCAAGGAGGGGTAATGTAATAGGAGCAATGGGGATGGGGCATTAGTAGGAGTATAATGAACAAACAGTAACTATAGGAGGCAAGCGGACCAGCCAGAGGTTTATCTAGTTCAGGTACTAGTTGTCAGGGCATTGACAAGATGCAAAGTATGCATATAAGTGCAGAGTATTAATGAATAAAGCAGTGCATTTCATTAAATAATGCAGCTCTCCATGGAGAATAAGGCAAGTACTAGTGAGGACTGCAGCTTTCTTGTGAAAAAAGTCAGCTTTTTTTCATCTGATGGAAAGCAGGAAACCAGTTTCTGTGTATCACAGAATCTCATGTTTTGTTTCTAGGTAAAATATTTGATTTCAGGTAAAGTTAGGTCCCATTTTTTAAGCTGAATTAGGCACTTATTTTCAAAGGCATACAGATCATAAGAATGCCAATAGGTGCCAATTAGGATTCTCAAAAATACCTAAGCAGGTTAGGTGCCTAATTCCTATTGAAATAAACATGATTTCTCACTGAAACCTGCTTAGGCACTTTTTAAAATGCCAGTAAATGCTTTCATACTTTTGAAAACCTGCCTCTAGGGATATATCTACACAGCAAGCCGAATCCTGCAACAGCAAGTCTTATAACTTGGGTCTACAACTCCTGGTGCTAAAAGTGGCTGTGTAAACATTGGCCGAGCTTTGAATCCCAAGGAGGAGAGTGCACCTATGAGCCCAGACTCCAGCCCGAGTCCAAAATCAAAAAAGCTATTTTTAGTGCTGTAGTGTGAGCTCAAGTCTGAATAGCCAGGCTCTAAACTCACTGCTGTGAGTTTGTGCTTGCCATGTAGACTTAGTCTTAATGACTTTGAAAATGGGACTTTGGGCTAGGTTTTCCCCGAGGGAGTTGGGTACTACAATGCTCCATGTTGTACATTTTGGGCACCTTGCTGCTTAGTGGAATTCATTACCCAAAATGAGGTGTCTATGTTTCTCAGACAATGCATGGGGACCATTAAGTGCCTAAAAGAGAGCTTAATGGAAGCCAGATTCTGAGCTAAAAGTTTTCAAACCTCACACTTTGAAGGGGGTTAGGCATCTAACTCCATGCTAAAGGGAGGAGGCTGACTTGGCTCAGAATTCTCGGAAGTTAGATCAGTCCTTTCTCACAGGGCGGAAAGGGGGCTTATAGCTAAGAGGTTAGGAAACACACCTGGAAGTTGGAGACCTAGATTCAAATCCTTGCTCCAAACGAGACGAAGTGCCTCCCCGCTCTATCAAACAGCCCAGTGGTTGGGGCCCTCACCTGGGAGCGGGGAGGCACTTCATCTCCTTTAGAACAAGGATTTGATTCTAGGTCTCCATCTGTTATATAGGGATTCGATCCCAGGAGCAAGAGAGACTACAGGATGCCAACTCTGTGAATCCTGACAGGGCTTAGACATGAACTAGAACACTGAGCAGCGCAGTAGCATCAGGTCCTAGGCAGCTTTGCACATGGTTGCTAGCAGAAACATAGGCACTTAGAGCACTTCATCCGTATTAACAGAGGTGCTACAGACTTGGGTTGCAGCTGAATTGTGGTTTTGTTGGACTTTGGTGTCTAAAGTGGCAGGTACGCACCTAAATCCTCCTTTCAATCTTACCATTAGACTTTTAAACTCCAAGAAGAAAGTGTTATTAAAGAATGTATCCGGTACATTCTCTATGATGAATCCAAACACACTCATTTTTAGTGAATTCTTATCAGTATCAAAATTAACAAATGTCCACAATGCTAGATACATAGCTATTCAAAGAGGAAAATACAAAGAATGTATCACAGGGAAGGATCTGGAAAAGTAATTTACTAAGATACTCATTTGCAACAGCAAAATTAGTTAATCACATTTAACATAATCTATTAAAATGCACAGCAGTAGATAATGCAGTATATAAAAGCTGTGTCACCCTGGCAAGCCCTCCCCTCTTTCCCCAAAGGACTAGAGAAAAAGGAGGCATCAGATGAAAGCTGATTGCTTTGCTAACAATAGTGAGAAAAGAAAGGAACACATTTAAGGAGCCTAGTGAAATTAATCTTACCTTCTCGACAAGGCCATTCTTGGGAGCCCAAGACTGTGACTGTTGGAGCACTATGAATGTTATGATAAAGGTATCAGACCAGGGCAGGAGGAGTTAAAGCAATACATTTCTGAAAAACTCTAGATAATTTTGAACAGTAACCAGCCCAAATAATGTAATGATGAATCAGGGATTGACCTCAGATGATAAACAAGGTTGCAACTTGCAGACAGAGTTCTTTTCATTTATTTCTTAAGATTAGAGGTTCAGGTCTTTTTTTCCCACCCCAGAAATTGCCAGTTGCTGTTCTATGAATGATCACATATTTGGAATGTTACTAACACATTGACAGGCTGATACCATATCTGCTTATTTTGGAATGGCATCGCAAAGGTCACTTACTGTAGTCGGGAAACTTTGTCATTTTAGCAGCTTAGTAGTCATAAAATCAGCTTATACTTTATAGTAGCACAACATTTAAATACCTTCAGTTGATGTATTTTGGCTCAGACAATAGTACGGCTTTATTAAGGTTGAACTACCTACTATATCACAGGGATTCTGTTATCACCAATAATAATAATGATTCTGTAATAA